CAGGGGCTCCACAATGATTTTTATTTATTAAAATAAATGGATTGTCGTTGTAAAAAAAAAAAAGCTTGACTAATCAAAATGTTGACTTCATGATGGCTCTGAAGAGTCTAGTGATCACTAAAACTCCATAATCTTTTGTGATTTATTAAAGTATTGCTCAGACGTTTTACCAAAAGCCCTAAAATTTAACCGTGTGCTGCTAAAAACAAGTGAGGGGGTACTCAAAGTCAGTGTGATTCATGCCACTAAATGTCAAAAACTCAACTGAGAGGATCAGGAAACATTTACTTATTTCTCTTTTAATTTACAGAGCTTGCTCCATATTGGCAATCTATTCCTTTAAACACAGAGAAAGTTCACTGGCAGCTTTAGCTGACTGTGTATGTTGAGACATTGAGTCCAGAGTTCCTCCCTGTGCTCCCATAACAGGGTTTTTAAGATGGTTCACACAAACAAACTGTATGAATTACACACAGCTGTTTAAATACGTATCTGCCGTAAATACGCAGCAGAGTACCGTAATTTCTGGACTATAAGCCGCTACTTTTTCACACACTTTGAACACCGTGGGTTATACAATTCTGCAGCTAATTTGTTTTTGTTTTTTGACGAGCTAACAAGCTTAATGCCACCAAAACATTTAGCCTCGTCACACCCGGGCGCTCACATAGCTGCCCAATACACGTCACTTTTGGGGGGTGGGTCCTCGTGACTCAATGTGACTACCTACATAAATAAAGGTTTAAACATTAATAAAATCTGACCAATGGAATTACCGAACAGGTCACAGTGGACAAATGAAACTGGGAGGGGAGAACGGGGAGGGGGTTCCCTTTGGGGTACCCCCAACTCCCCTCTCCTCCCCTCCTGTTTCCCCCTCCCTGTTTCGAAAGGCATCTGAATGATGGAGGAGCAAGCTGCGCAGGGAGAAGGTGAAGATAGCGATCAATGACTTCCTGGTAGGCTACTGTATTTTTATTTTTTTAACCAGCCATGTTTCAGGCACTGTTCAGAAAAAAAACATCTACTGTACGTATTTGTGTATGTTACCGGTACATATTTAATTAAAATTTAAAAAATATCTTTCAGCGTAAAATTCTCATGTTACAACGTGAACACCCGTGGCTTATAGACAAGCACGGCTTATATTCGGGTGCGCTCAATAGTCCAGAAATTACGGTAAATATAATGGCAGAGGCCTGAACGACACACAACCCACATTGGAATTAATCTGTGAATAAAAGTTGCTGTCCAACACATGTTAGTTTTGTGTTTCTTTCATTAACGTATTAATCTTTTGAATAATAAATTATAACTATATCAGACTCATATGGTAAACCAAATACAAACTTTTTGACTTAAATCATCTAAACAATTTTCACAATGAATAATAATGTTTTCTGAAACTTTACAAAATGTTCTGATGAGAGGACGGTTCAGATGAAACACATTTTGGACTCTTTAGAATTTATTTACAGCATCTTAAGAAATTCAAGCTTCATTGTTTTACACGTCATTTACATTTATGGTGTCTGACATGAAAGTCTTTGCTTCCTCAGCTGACTGAACTAAAATAAAAGGTTTTCGAACGTCCTCAGGCCTTGAACTCAGCTTCTCATGAAAAATATTTCAGTTTCTTAAACGTTAGTGTTTCGTTTAGTTCAGATGTTTAAACTCATTTCAGAGCTCATTCAGGCTCCAAAGGAGTTTTTATTTTTATTAAAGTTAAATTATTTTAGAATGACTGTCCACCAACTTTCACATGTTTGTTTTTCATTGTCTTTTTACGAATTTTAGATTTAATTAAAAAAAACTGTTTACAGAAAGTAGTTTTAAATTTTCCAAGGTTTTTTTTCTTTGACGATCATTTAATATTTTCATATTTGTCCATTGATATTGGAGCGTTTAAACAGTTGCTGTGACAAAGAAAGTGCAAAAATGAAAGCCTCCGTAAAAGTAGTCACTGAACAGAAACGCACATTCACAAACTGGTTTGTAATCTCTGATTTAAGTTTTTATCTGGCATCTCTCATGAATACAACCACTGAAAGTAATCATGTAAAGATTACCTGTGCACAGCCAAAACAAAATTACAATTTCTAAAGTATTTTCTTAAGCTCCCATGTTGAAAAAACTTGCTTTTCATTTCCATATATGTATGAATACAGCACCGACTGTTGTGGGAACTATTAGTAAAGGGGTTTTGTTTGGGTCTTAGAATTGGACTGATTTTCATGAATGAGTCTCTGTGGTGACGAGAAAAACTTACAGAAAGTCGAACACATGTTTGATCCTGTCAGACAGAGCTTCAAACAAAAAGCTTTTCATCGCAGCGTAAAATCTTGAGGATGTTTACACAAAGGCACCAGAACGATAACTTTCTGACAATTAAATCCTCTCATTTTGATTTAACAAAGGTTTCACGGCTGCAGTATTCAGTTTCATATGAGGAAACCTCTAAAATTCATCTCTACATTCAAGCACGGTGATGAGAGCATCATTATTAAGGAACTTTTTTATGGGGTAGCTATACCACAACTGAAGAATATAGTATATAAAGTTTAAAAACTTTCAGCACTTTCTGATGAAAGTTTTTATCTTTTTTTCCAAAGTTCAGATTGTTGTGAATATTTCAATGAAGCAGCAACATCAAAAACAAAGAAGAGGTTTGAGAAAAAAATCTAATAATTCAACCTCAACTAAAGAAATTGCACTTCCTGTGAAAATGCAATGTGAACACTTATGGCAGAAAAACAGCTGAAATTAGCTAAAAATAACAAAAAACATGCTGAAATGTAGCTGAAAATATAGAACAAGCGTAAATCAGCAGGAGAAAGCAGAAAGGGCACAAAGTTTAAATGAGTGCAAAAAATGTGGAATTAGCTGAAAAAGCTAACATTAGCTTAAAACAGTTAAATGGTGGCTGAAATAACTGAAACTAGCAGAAATAAGCTAAAAGGAGCAAAACAACTTGAAATTAGCAGAAATAATTTTAATTGGGCTGAAAGTAGCATAAATTACCTTAAAAAACTTGAATTTACCTGAAAACAGCTTAAATTAGCTAAACTATGCTAAAAAGCAAGCTGAAAAGGTAGAACAAGCTTAAATTAGCCGAAGAAAGTAAAACGAACATGTTTGCTGAAAGAAGCAGAAGTGCGCACAAAAAGGTGGAAATTGCCTGAAAAAAGCTGAAATTAGAATAAAATCAGCTGAAAAGTAACTTAAAAAGCAGAAAGAAGCTTAAATTACCAGAAGGAAGAGGAGAGAGCATGTTTTTGCTGAATTTGGCTGAAAAAAGTTGAAATGAGTGTGACAAAAGTGGAATTAGCTGAAAAAGCTAAAATTAGCATAAAACAGCTAAGTAATAGCTGAAATAGCAAAAAAAGCTGAAACAGAAATAAACTGAAAGGAACAAGCTGAAATTAGCAGAAAGAAGTTAGAAGAAGCACAAAAATCTTGTAGTTAGCAAAAATAATCTGAAAGGAGCATAAAACAGCTGAAAGTAGCTGGAAAAAAGTTTGAATTTGCACAAGGAAGCTGAACGAAGCTGAACCAGAACAAAATGTGAACGGAGCAGTAAAAGGCTGTAAACAGACCTAAAGATTTGAAGAATCTAAAATGAGCTCAACTCATTTTCTATGAGAAAAAAATGAGAGAAAAGGCTAAATATTTAAAAAAGCTAAAGTTGCACTAATACCTAATGTCATAGCAGGATTGTCCTGAAAGAGCTGAACATTTTGATTTATGATTTGTTGAAACAGCTTCAAAACTACAGGATGAGAACTGCGCCGAAAAACATACAGAAGAAAAATGGTTCACAATAGTGTGAACATTTCAAGCGTTCACACTATTGATTCAAAGGTGTCCCAGTTCTGTGTGATTACTCTCACGAAGACGTCGTGATGAGCTCATTTAATTTAAGAAATATGAGAATAAATTAAAGCTTTCAGTTTTGTTGCTTTCAATAAATTTCCACAACTTCCCAAAACTATCTTTCTATCTGCTTCGTTGTTGATTGATAGAAGGAAACAAAAGAGTTTGATCAATTATGAAACGAACAAAAACACATTTTTCCTCAGAAAGTTGAAATATTCCCAACAGAGTGAGGCTTCCTGGAGGTTCAGGGCTCATCCTTCAGCAGGAACAGGAACATTCACTTTCTCTTCCTGTTCTGTATTTATTGTGTGTATTTAAGAAGAGCTTTATGTGGTCAGAGTGACCACATGTGAGAGGGTCACAGGACTGCTGGTGATCAGCTCCATAACTACCAGACCAGCCTCCGGCGCTCATGTTGACCCAAGGACACCTTTGCTTCAGTCCTGATGGTTTCCAGGAAGCTGAAACTCCTCTGAGGACGTCATGTGTGGCCACTCACAAACCCCACTGAGATTCCTCATGGAGAACTCTGCTGGTGGACCCTGTGGAACTCATCTAACCAGTTTTTGGGGAAGTACTGATGCATACTGCAACTAAACACTTCAGGAAGATCCAGATTATTATGGTTTCGTCTACCATGATGTATATAATTCAAAAACTTCTAACGCTTCTATCAACTTCAAGCGTCTTTGTGATTTTAATCTATTTGAATGGAAAAGTCTAGATTTAATTTTTTTCAGGGTGGAAAAACTTCTAACATCTCACCAAATAACTCCAGTCAGCAGTTTGGCTCTGCTTTCTATATGAATGGTCAATGAACCTCCTGTGTAGGATTAAACACCATCAGGGCATTGGGCCTCATCTGTTGACCCCTCCCTATTTGCCTCTTACTCTCCGGAAAAACTCCCCCTCCCTCTTCCTCCCTCAGTTTATGCCCCTTCCCCTTTTTCCAACCATCTCATCAATCACCTTCTGAGTTTTGAGGACCACACGTGTGTTTATTCGAGGAACTGGAGGAGGAGTCTCGAGTAATTCAGCTCGCATGAATAATACCTTCTTTGTGAACCCCTTCTGTATAAAGTTCCACTTATATGCCCCCCCCCCCCCCCCTTCTTCTTAACACTTGGAGCAAACAGAGAAGGACCCACAGAAGTCTGACTCCCACACCTAACTCCACCATGAGTGCCAGGATCTTGGTGCTGCTCTTGGCGGCGAACGTTTGCACGTCGAATGCTCAAAACAGCAGCAGCCATGACGGCAAGCAGCAGCAGCGCAACACCTGGGACATGATCAGGTTCAGCACCAAGGCCAAAGAGTCGTGCACTATGGCCGTATTTCCAGCGGGAAACCATACTCGCCTGCGCGTCTCCTGCAGGAGTCCAGGCCAAACCGCAGGACAGTCTTACTACTGCGACTTCCAGGGCCGGCCAAGCCTGTGTCGCGCCTACAACGCCAACCCTCGCCACTACTTCACCCAGATGATGTGGGAGCTGAGGAAGCTCAAGAACGCCTGTCAAGGAGCTAAAATCTACCGCCCGCCTATGTGCAAGAAATACCCAGACGAGGCCCAAATGAACTTCCTCACCTCTTGGCCCAAGGCCTCCAAGGAGCAACGCAAACCGTCGGTGCAAGCCCAGCCCAAGCTCGTTGCTACGGCCAAACCCGCGAAGCCCCAGCCTCCGCCCGTCAAGCCACAGCCAGGCAAAGGTTCGCAGGGCAGGAAACCAACCTCCAGGCCTGGGAAGACCACACGTCCCACAGAGCAGCCCGAGTCCGGCGCCTCCCGCCTCGCCACCGAGTACTGCTGGGAGAGCTTTCACGGTGTCTGCAGCTACCTAATCAGCTGGTTCCAGGAGTGAGAAGTTAGGTGGGTAACACTGAGGAGGACAGGATGGACAGGCGAAGCTAAGAATATTGTTTTTTTTTTGTTTGTTTTAGAAATAAATAAAGAAAATGTTCAGAGCTTTTTTATTGTTTGTTTCAGGTTGGAACCAGAAGGACTCGCACAGTCGTCTCTGGACTCTTTGAAACAAAAACATTTGGAAGATCTCGTCCACTAAAAGAACTGTCTCCCTATAGCGTGGGGTGCATGTGGTGTCATTAAAAAAACAAGGGTGGGCGTGAGTGAACAGCTACTGTGCATGTGTTTGTATAAGATTTAACAGTTATTTCACATGCCGTGTAAATGTTTCAGCAGCCTGTATCCAGAAAGAATAAAATCAGAGCGGTGACACCTCCCTTTCTGCCTCATCTCTCTGTTTTTCTTGTCGAACCGAGGAAAGGTGTCGCGTTTCAGGACATTTAAAGGAGTCTTTGTGTCGACTCGATGGCAGGTTGTAACATGTCTGCTGCCCGCCCCAGGAAGTTGTTAGCGTGCAGACACAATCAGTCACAGGAGGTGTCTGAGTGCAGCCAAGCACGTCTTTGTGTGAGCAGATGAACTGCTGAGGAACAGAGGAGGCCTGTGTGGCTGTTAGCACACACAGCAGCACACTTACAGGCTGTTTCTACATCTGAACAGAGCACACTTACAGGCTGTTTCTACATCTGAACGGAGGGTTTACACATTATTATCTAGATCTAAGACTGTAATCTAAATGTTAGAGCTTTATTCAAAAAAAGGTTGAATTAGGAGGAATAGCTAAAGGACGAAGTGAAAGTTTTGTATTGTTAAATAATAAATTTAAAAAAAAAAACTTGGATTTTACTGAAAGTGACCTGTGTTCATCATTCAGTGAAGACCATAGATTAACTTTACTCTGAGCATTTCTGAAACTCCTAATTCATCAAAGACACTAAATGTTAATCAAATATAGAAAATGGATTTGAATATATATATTTTTTTTTTTGGGGGGGGGGGGGGGGGATTTATCATCCAGATGTTCACAGAGTGCTGTGTCCAAGCATATCAATGGAAAGTCTAGTGGAAGGGCAACATGTGGCAGGAGAAGATGCACCAGCAAAATAAATGACCGTGAGCTGCAAGATGGGCTACAACTGCTGGGATCCTCGGTCCTCTTTTCTGAAGAACGTAAAGTGTGTCTTTCATCAGAAATCAAGTGTTTGGAGGAAGAAGGGTGAGAAACAGAGCCCATACTGCTTGAGGTCCAGTGTGAAATATCCACAGTCAGTCATGATTTGGGGTGCACTGTCCTGTGCAGGTGTTGGTAAACTCTGCTTTTTTAAATCCAAGGTCACCGCAACAGTCTATCAGAATGTTTTAGAGGACTTCATGATTCCTTCTGCTGAGGATCTGTATGGAGATGCAGATTTCATCATTCAAAAGGACCTGGCCCCTGCTCATGCTGCCAGAAGCACCAGAACCTGGTTTGATGCCCATGCCACAGTGCTTGACTGGCCAGCCAACTCACTGGACCTAAACCCCATTGAGAATCTATGAGGTATTCTCAAGAGGAAAATGAGGAGCACCAGACCAACAACAAAGAAGAGCTGACAGCATCAAGGAAATCTGGGCTTCCATAACTCCCAGTCAATGCCACAGACTGATTGTCTCAATGCCACGTCACATCGAGGCAGTGATTAAGACAAAGGGATTCCCAACAAGTATTGAAGATTGACATATCGTTTTGAAAGTACCATATTTTATTGATTTGTTGTGATCCTAATTTCTTTCTTTTTTTCCTGCAAAAACTGAGAAGTAGTGTGGGCTGATGTCTTCATAGTATTCTTATTTTTTGAAATCCTGTTTTTGTGGGTTTCAAATAAAAATAAACAAATACTTGAAATTGTTTAAATTCTGGGCCCTGAATCTATCATCTATTAAAGATTAACTTTCTGAATGGAATTATGGAAGTTAAACAACTTTTCCATGATATTCTAAATTTTTGGAAAGGGTCTGTACGTATATATATAATTCACTGGACAGACTATATGTCTCTCAGTTGGCCTGGGAACAACTTGGAATCCTCCCAGAAGAGCTGGAAGAGGTGGCTGTGGAAAGAGATGTCTGGGCCTCCCTACTCAAGCTGCTGCCCCCTTACCTGACTTCAGAATAAACAGAAGATGGTGGATGAATGGATGGATGGATGGATGGATGGATGGATGGATGGATGGATGGATGGATATTTATTTAAAAGAAAAATATTTTATTAATGGATCTTCAAACAACTTATTTGCTATTTCACTCACGGATTTAAATTCTGAACCACTTCAGAAAAATGTTTGGAATCAGGACAGGTTGATGTTTAATATCGGTCTGACTTTTACTTTTCATATTTTCTGCTTTGTCGAACATTAACAAGCTTCAAACTGCAGCTGAGAGAATAATCCAGGCAGAGCAGCGTTGGGTGCAGAGGCTGCAGTGAACACAGGGTGGCGCTGCTGAGCAGAGAGAATGGTTTCTGCAGGAGGTCTCTTCCAGTGTCAGAGTTTGATCAAACATTTGATCCTTGACATGACATTTATAACACAGCTTTGATTTCATGTTACGAACCAACCAAAATGTCCTCGCAAACCGAACAGGTCCTCAATGTTTTACACAGAGGCTACAATTTCACATAAAATCCCTTTTGAAGAAAAACGTCTAACAATATCTTTGTGGAACTGGAAAACAAAAATAAACAACAACATGTCTTAAATCTGATCAGGACTTGAAAAGAGCATTTTTTTGAGGCGTGCACGTTTGAAGCTTATGTTCATTTCTGAACCAGTTTGCAGAAATGAACAGAAACAACTGTTGTAATTATCAGACTGAGTGGCTTGAACAGCCATTGTCAGCTCAGCATCATCAAAGGAGGAAGTGACCAGATGTCATCTTCAGTCAGTTTGAGTGCTAAAGTCAGAAAAGACAGTTCTATGTCGTATAGGCTTTGCCCTTTAAGGCCTTCGCTTAGTGGGTTTATCCCGTTATGCGTAAGCATCACACTGAAAAAATGAGTCCACGCCCACCTGCTGTGTGGGCCCCACCCGATCCGTATGTTCCATTAAGAGCGGGTAATCGGCTCCCATTTTTCTTCAGCAAGCTAATAACACTGACCTTGACCTTCAGCAAGATGTCCAGCTCCAACACCATCCGCTTGTGTCCTTCTTGCAAGACCGGTTACTTGCTCAGCTTTGACCGGCACGACACCTGAGAGGGATGCCTGGGTCCCCGCCACGTCGCCCGCGCTTTCTCCTGCCGCCTCTGTGACGACCTTCCACCGGAGGAAAGGCAGAGGAGAGCAGCCTTGTTTAAGGCTACCATCGAGGACTGCCTGTCCGTGGCGGGAGACTGTTCGCTGGACGACGCCATGGATTTCTTCGACGCCGGCTCTCGGAGCAAATCGGATGATTCCTCTGGGACCGGTGACGTTAGCAGCAGCCCCAACGCTCGTTCCCTACCGGGGAGCGCAGTGTTGGAACGAGGGAGGCTGAGCGGATGCTCGACCCTCCGGGGTTTCCCGCCTCAACGGCCACACCGCTCCCTGCCGTCAGCGCACTCCTCTCGGAGCTGCCCGCCATTATCCGGGAAGCTGCTAACGTAAAAGGGACTTTCCGTTCCCTTACCTCCCCCGCTCAGATCGGATGATCTTGCGGGAAGGTTTGGCTCCACGCCGGCTCGCCGTCCTGATCCCATCTGGCCTCGTTTTCTAGCGGTAACGGCCTACTGGAACGAGGCCGCAGCCGGTCCTGGTAAGTTGAGAGCGCCCGTCTCCACTTACGCTCCCATCACCAGAGTGAAGGGGTTCACCGAGCGGGGCTATCCCTCGGTACCCCCCCCCTTGAGCCAAGCCTTTCACTTTTGGAGCGAAGCTGTCCAGGTTGGAGCAGCGTCCCGTCCCTCCTGGGAAACACGACCAGACGGTGACCGCGCTCTCCAATCGAGCCCATCAGTGTGCTTTTCAGGCAGCCGCAGCTAGCAACAACGTGGCGTTGCTAGCATATAGCATGTCCAAGAGGTTGGAGGCCGCAGACCTGTCCGAGGAGACCAAGAGCTCCCTCTGTAAGACAGCAGACGCCATCCTCAACATGTGCGCCTCCTCTACGGTTTGCCTGTCGAGGATTGCAGCGTGGATGACTATGATCCAACGATCCAACGATCCAACGATCCACCTGGCTTCGTCACTCCCCCTCGCTGCCGGAGAAACTGCACAAGGACCTGATGGAGGGCCCCATCACGCCGGATGTGCTGTTCGGGAGCAGCTTCAAAACCATGCTGGCGAATTCGAAGCAGTCTGAGGAGGTGTCAGAGGCGGTGCGCCATCTCATCAAGCCGCGCGGGTCATCCTGCCCCCCGGCCCGCTGGAGAGACCGTCGTGAGCAGAGGCAGAAACAACGGCGTTCCACGGCCGCCGCGGCATCGTCTCGCTCAGCTCCACCACCAGCCCCGCCCGTCAGAGACCACCCCTCTTCATCCCTGCAGCCTGCAGTTCAACATTTCCCCAGAGATCACCTGCAGACGGCGCTCTGGGCAAACAAATCACAGAGCGCACGGGGGAGAATATTTAAAAAATGATGGTATGCCGAGGGTGTGTGTAATAATGACACGGAAATTGAAATAAATAATTTTTCAATGATCAAAGTGTCTGTTTCTAGCCAGGCTGTAAGCTCGGATGAACTCACAGCGGCTGCGCACACACCCTCCACACATAACGAGCCGGTGTCCTTAAATAAAGGTTTTTTTAAACACCGTCGCTCCAAGACATGACGAGTCGCCCACACGACACAATGGTAAGCGAAATAACTCGTTATCAATCAGAGCTGCACGATCCTCATCCAAGCGGTGTCAAACGTGCATTCGGGCGATGTAAACAGCTTCCATCCAAACGGCGCTGCGTTGATGATGATGCACACACAGGTGCCCGGCACTCACCGGCTCACATCGGTATAAATGTGGGACTGCAGGCCGGGTCCGGTGGAAGCCCTTGCTCCCAGCAAGAACAACACACGAAACCTCACCGGAGCAAACGCGGATGGCCGTCATCCACCGCGTCTCAGCGCTTGGCAGCTCACGGCAGCATAAGCGTGGGACAGCTGAACGAACCCGGTGACGAGTCTCGCCTCCAGCGAGAGCGGCGCGTGTCCCTCCAGAAGAAACGTGTGCTCCCGCGGGGCTCGCAGCCTTCACTCCAACAGCACGGTGTTGATGAAGTCACGCCCTCCGCCTCTCAACGTTCGCACAGCGACGTCAAACGTGCAGCCCCACGGCGTCATCAGCTGTCACATGCTTCGCCTCAGCACACACCGGTCCACCCAGACATGAGGGTTGGTCCGCGGTCCGA